TGGTGGCGGATTGTATTAAAACGACGTTGTTTCCTCTCCCTCACCTGGATAATGTCGCACAACTTTGAGATCTTTTTATCTTAAACCGATCGTTGTCGACATCCTCTCGACATCACCATCGCTCATCGTCGCTCGTCGTCGTCGCTCGTTCGATCGTTGTCATTGCTCGCCGTCGCGTCTCTACAACCCAGGTTTGTGATCTACTCTCCCTAGCTCAGTTGCTGGAAAAATTAGGGCTTTGAGGCGAAAATTACGGATCTGACAGCAAAATTAGGGTTCAGACCGCAAAACTAGGGCTCGGAGGGCAAATTTAGGGCTCGGGAAAAAGTAGGGTTGTGATTGTGGGTGGGGACCTCAATTTCTTTAATCACGGTATCATTTTCTTTCGTGGGGATGATGGTACTTGCAGCCGTGGGGACCTTAATTTTTTTAATCACAGTGATGTTGGTAAATCACATCAAATTGTTTGATCACAGTATCAACTTACAACCGTGGGGTCCTCAATTTGTTTAATCACGGTGTCAATAGTGATATTGCGATTGTAGGTGGGGACCTTAATTTGTTTAAACAATTCGATGTTGCTTTGTTTCCACTAAACAATGTATGTGCTTTCTTTTCCACTAAACGACAACAGTTGTTGACAATAAGGTTATGTATTTATAGCTTGGGAGACCTTCAGAGGTGCCCATCTCTCAAGGTGGCCTAAGTTATGAGTCAAGGGCTGCACCTAAAAGAAGAACCTAACCAAGGTTAACAAGAGCACAATCCAGTAAGAAAAGTGCTCTGAAACAAACGACATGAGTGGCATATCCAAAGACAAGAGCACAGGCAAGGCCAACGACGAGAGCACAGGCAAGTCTAAAGACAACAGCACTAGCAGGTTCAAAGACAAGGGAGCAGGCTAAGAAGAAAAGCCAAATGTAGTTTCAGTACAACAACCTCAAAAGTCTAGTGCAACAATCTCCAAGTCCAGCGCAACAATCTCTAAGTCCAGCACAACAACTTCCAAATCCAGTTCCAGTTAGAAAGAGTGCAAGGATTCAAGCCAGAGGTCCATCTAAACGGATAGAGACTGTGGGGTTATGCATATTGACGACTGATGGGAGGGTACTAGATATGGTAGATTTTATTTTTTGTTAGGAGATTGTGCTGGATATGGTATTTTCTGTGTTTTGTTGGGAGATTGTGCATATGGTAGTTTCTGTTTTTTGTTGGGAGGTTCATATATTTTAGTTGGTTATTCAGATTGACCAAATGTAAATACTATGTTCAATGTCAATGGACCAATATTTAATTTATCTATGTTTTTGCCATTTTCATATTTTGCTTTTGGTTTGCTAGTTATGTTAATGTTCTTGCTTGTGCTGGTATGTTTGACTAGGTTGTGCATGTTGTGCTTAGTGCTGGTGCAGTGCTTGCACCAATTTTATGTGCTAGTGCAAGCACAAGATGCATTAGCACGTGTTGGTGCAGAATATTTTGCTTGTACCAGCAAGCATAAGATTGCACTGGCAGCTTGGTGGTGCTGGTGGCAGAGTGGTGGTGGTGGTTTTGACTAGAGATGTGAATTGTTGTTATGTTGTATGCTGGTACAAGGTTGTGACAAGGCTAATGTTGTTTTTGGTAGTGATGGGCTCATGTTTTGTTACTAGTGGAAATTGTGGGTATTGGTGCATTTGTGGGTGCTAGTACAGTGTTTGCACCAACAGTTTTATGTGCTGGTGCAAGCACAAGATGCACCAGCACAGGGTATGCACCAGCAACTATACTAGTTCATCTTGTGCATCAGCATCTTTTTAAACACGACTGACATTTAAATGATCACTTTTAACCAAGACTGGCACTTAAAGTGATTACTTTCAGAAAAACTTGTACTTAAACGATCATTATTTACAACTTATGGCACTGAAATAGTCACTCGTGAATTTGTTACCACTCCTTAATTTGGCCATGGTTTGCAGTAATAGTTGCAGCAAACCAGCAAACCATTACCAAGCAAGACATGCAGCAAACCATTACATGTGAAGCAAACCAAACATCTGAAGCAAAAATTAAGCAAAATAGCATTGACAATACACAACTGAGCAAGCACACCATTACATGTGAAGCAAACCAAACATATGAAGCAAAAATTAAGCAAACTAACATTGACAATACACAACTGAGCAAGAAAACTTTTAAGTGCTCACAACCAATGAATTCCAACCTTTCATTTCCACCATATATTGCAGCAAACATTTTGTTCATACAACAATTGCAGCAAACCAACAATACAACTATACTTACAAATAACCCAATACAAGTACATATTCCACTAATCTTCGACTATGGTAGACATACAAACTTCTTCTCATTACTTGACATTTGACCATAAAATAGGCTACACAAGAGAACAACAACACTATCAAAGCTCAATAAAAGTTTTTTTTTTTAATTTGCCAGCCTTGAAATTTCCTTCTTCAAATGGTTGGCTAGAGATGTTAAAGCTTTCATTTGAGCTTGTATTGAGTCGACATCCTCCAACTCATCCATTAATGTAAGTGGAGGTTGATGTTATCCTTCAAGTAGCTCCAAGATCACTTTCTTCACTCAACTGGAGAATTCGTATCGACCCATTTGAAATATTTGCACTTCGAGCCTTCTCTATACCTGGAGCATCCATGGAATCTTCTCTCGGGAGTCAATCGAGTCCAAGATGTTCTTCATGAACTCGGTAACCCACAATAACAGTAACGCTCACCGTCTAGTTCGCTTAGTTGGGATGAATGTGAGCTGTTGTAGAAGTTCTTGCTCTCCATTTGCAAGATTGAGCTGGTAATTTTGGGGGCGAACTGAAATAGATGCTTAAATTGGCTAGTTAGGGTTTTCAAATTAAGGTTTTCTTTCAATTTAGGGTTCTTATTTAGGGGAAATTCGCAGAACGACATCATTTTTATTGTTGACATGCTAATTGGACCTCCGGCGACCCACGTCGGCTTAAAAAATTAATAAAAAAAGGCCACGTCGGATTTCTGGCCAATCATATTAGAGTTGGCACTTAAGTGATCATTTTTCAAAAAATTTAGCACTTAAGTGATCAAAAAAAAACTTTTGGCACCAAAATGAGCATTGTACGTAACTTTTGGCACTTGTAGTATTCTTCTCTCGATATAATTGAGGAATATGGAATGAGAGGCAGCAAAAGTCAATTTTTTATATCCATTTTTCTCTATGTGTAACAAAATTCGAAGAGAATTTAGCTAATGATAGATACTTGATTAGGGTCGATTGTAATACTGCAAAAATATGTTTTTCTTAAAGATGTGAAGAATTTAGGGCGTAAAAAAATATTTAGAAAGTGATAATTGTGAAATGGTGGGATAAATGTAATTATGAAAGCCTTTCGCCCAATCTAATTAAGGTTTTCAAGATTGAAGAATAAGAATATGCATCAGCAGGATCACTTCCACCGCCTCACATGAATGATTTGAATAATGTTCGCAGTAAAGTTTATTTGAGTGATCCTTGCACAATTGGCATATCAAATACATAGTTCAAGAGGAAATTATCGGAAGATTTGTAGAAGGACCTTGATGGTGGAGACCCAAAGCCCCCCCTCGAGCCAGGGAAATACCAAACAACAATCGTGGAAACGGCATGAGTAAGGCGACGGACAAGTAGGGTTATCGGGAGTGCCCTTGGGAGAATTCGATTTATCATGCAAGATTCTCAACACCGACCGGTTTTGTCCAAGAGGCTAGTGGTACGAAAAACGGCCAACACGTGAAGAATGACATGTTAGAATAGGGATAAAACATAATCATGTTTAATATGCTCCGACAAAGATCCTGCATGTTAGACTAATCTCGTAATGGAGAGAGCTTTCGACGGCCTTTGCCAATGAATGTTTTCTTTTGATGAAAGATCGGGATATCACCGGAACGAACTTTGATTAAATCGACTATAGTAACTTTTAACCATCGTGAATATATCCGTCGTGTAGTTTTATCTCTTCCAAACCCGCATGAGATAAGAGTGCTTCTTTCAATATATAGATTTAGATTGGTATTCTCCATCCGAAAACCGTTTTAAAGCAATCATCCGAAGACGTTTTCCTTAAGGACTAGATTGAAAGATCGAAGGAAGTTAGGGCAATTGTAGACACGTTTTATTCTTGCAGAGAAAAAACTAACAAGAAAGAACTTGAAGGATGAAATTGCAAATTTTAACGAAATATTCTAGAGTTTTAACTTTTAGGGACAATGTCACAAATAGTCGCTGAACTTTTGCCCAATGTGCAATGTGGTTCATAAACTTTAGCTCAATATGCAATGTGATTCATGAAGTTTCAATTTGTTCAATATGATCCATGGATTTTTGATACATGTTCAACTTAGTTCCTGAACTATACGAAATGTTCAATTTTGTCTTTTCATTAATTCAAGTTTTGAGACAACGTTGAACATTTTAATATAGTTCAGGAATTAAGTTGAACATGTATCAAAAGTCCAATGCCACATTGAATAAATTGAAAGTTCAGGGATTACATTACGCATTAGGCTACAATTCAAGATTATATTGAACAAATTAAAAGTTTAGGGACCACATTGAGTATTGGGTCAAAATTGAAAGGACATTTTTGTCAATTTCCCTAACTTTTAAGGATTTTTTTGGGCTAATTACGAAAAAAGTACCAACTCTACCTTGAGTGACAATTCTGGCCCGAACTTTTTTTGTCTCAATAGAAAGCACAAACTTTTATTGGAGTCCCAAATTTGGCGTGAAATTTTCAAATTATTCGGGCTAGTTTTGGGATTTAAGTGAAAGTCGATGATTTTTTATGAGATAAAAAAAGTTTAGGTCAGAATTGTCACTCAATGTAAAGTTGGTGCTCTTTTTTGGAATTAGGCTGATTTTTTGGTTGTTGTACTCACCGTTTTGGATTTATTGAAATTTCTTTTTGGCCCCCTCTTTTTTTTAATCTTTGCAATTAAGTCCTCAGTCCCTCTTCTTATACAGTCTCTCCCCATCAACACGCTCGAATCCAAAATCTCCAGAGGCCAAGAAGAGAGAGAGAAACCATGGACGCCTTGGCTTCGCAGGCGGCCATAGCCCAGAAGACATGGGAGCTCGAGAACAACATCCTCTCCACCACCGCCGGCGCCGGCGCCGGCGACCCTTCCAAGCCTGACCAGTCCGACTCCATCTTCTTCTACGACGAAGCCGGCCAGGCCAAGTTCCAGCAGGACAAGCCGTGGTCCAACGACCCCCACTACTTCAAGCGCGTCAAGATCTCCGCCCTCGCCCTCCTCAAGATGGTCGTCCACGCCCGCTCCGGCGGGACCATCGAGGTCATGGGCCTGATGCAGGGGAAGACCGACGGCGACGCCATCATCGTCATGGACGCCTTCGCCCTCCCCGTCGAGGGCACCGAGACTAGGGTTAACGCCCAGGCCGATGCGTACGAGTACATGGTCGATTATTCGCAGACCAACAAGCAGGTTTGGATCGTTCGTCTTGTTTTCCCTCTCCCTCGAACCCTAAGTTTTTCAGTATATGATCGTCCTCTTCACTGTTTCTACGTGGGTATCTAAAGAGAAATCTTGGAGAGAATGTTGTTCCCTGAAAGTGGGGCTTGGTAGCTTGTTGTATTCACTAAAGGGTGTTCAGGAAATCAGAGGGTTTCTTATGAACTTCATTAATTTTGTTACGTGCTTTTTGCTTTGAATTATGTTATAGCCTGAGATGGTAGCAGTACTCATTCTGATTTTTGAAGTAAAATGCAAAATTCTATATGTAGGCTGGGAGATTGGAGAATGTTGTTGGTTGGTACCATTCGCATCCTGGATATGGATGCTGGCTCTCCGGTATTGATGTTACGACGCAAATGCTCAACCAGCAGTTTCAAGAACCCTTTTTGGCTGTTGTCATCGATCCCACGAGGACTGTGTCTGCGGGTAAAGTGGAGATCGGGGCATTCAGGACATATCCAGAAGGATATAAGCCTCCGGATGACCCTGTTTCCGAGTATCAAACTATTCCTCTAAATAAAATCGAGGACTTTGGCGTGCACTGTAAACAGGTTTCAAGTTTGTCTTCAGTTTCGACTTTTGGAGCTTGTATTGTGCTGTTGCTTTAACTCTTGCCATATTTGCTTCTGCAGTATTATGCTCTCGATATCACTTATTTTAAGTCCTCTCTTGATTCCCACCTCCTGGATCTGTTGTGGAACAAGTATTGGGTGAACACTCTTTCATCTTCACCCTTATTAGGAAACGGAGACTATGTTGCTGGACAGATTTCTGATCTAGGTATCTGTTCTTCTAGAGGTTAATTTGTTTGTTTCTAGATTTTTCATTAGTCAAATATGTTGATTTTTGTCGACTATGCAGCCGAAAAGCTGGAGCAAGCAGAAAATCAGTTGGCACATACTCGCTTCGGGCCATTGATAGCACCTCCTCAGAGAAAGAAAGAGGTGATTGTTGCTTTCTCTCGTCTTTTTCTTTGCTGTCTTACTAAACATTGCTCTTGCTTTTGGGTTTTCTGTTGTCACTATGCTCTTATTATGGTTATGGAGAATTTTACTAACTTCTACCACGTTCCTGAATCAGTTGTGGCCCTTCTATGTAAGCATTAGAGTGCTGTTGAAAGTTAATTAACTTTACTATTTTATGTTATGGTTGGAGCGTTCTAAGGAACATGGGGTGATATTTTTATGATTTCTTTGGCAATTGAGAGATGATGTAATGTTGATATTATGTCTACTACTGCACTGGCAACCCTAGAAAATGACATAAAGCATGCCTTTTCTGCTGCTAGATGGGCATGTAAACCAGTTTTTGATTGTGAATCAGCAGTTAAAAAGAGAATGAGGGTTGAGAATTTGCCGTACATAGGATGAAATTATTAGAACTTCGGATCACACGAGGCCTGTTAGAGTGATTCATTGAATGGAAAGAACACCAAATTTGGACCTCCTCTGAGGATTTTATGTTTTAGCTTGTTCTTGAATGCTAGATAACCTGCACAGTCAATATAAAAGGCGAAGGATTTCGGAGACATCTGAAGATTAGCTTCTTGAAAAATTGCAAACTTCCAGTCTTCCTTTTGGGTTTCAGTTCTTAGCTTTCGGCTTCGTCTTCCCACGGTATAATGTGCAAATCCATATGATTTCCCATGATCTTGTTGGTAAAGTTCTCTGGAATGATCAGCATACATTGTTATTGTGAATGATCCCCTGGGGACTTAGCTTTCAATATTGAATTGGGGACTTAGCTTTCCCATGATAGTGAATCATTCCCCTGGGGACTTAGCTTTCAACTTCCTTGGAAGTCACATTTGCGTATACAATTCAATATCTGTGCTCGTTGCTCTTCTTGTTGCTTACCTGTGTTATAGCATGAAGTTCTACAGTTTTTTAGTTTCCGATTCAGTAAGCTTGGGTAAGCCATGTAAAGGTTATACAATTTTATGATGATGATGGACTTGCTCTTATGAATATGAGATCCCTGTGCAATTTGTTATCGTTTATTTAGTCGAAGTAGTATGGTGGTTCTATTCCCCTTTAGAAAAGCATATGGTTCAGTGGCATCCTGGTTTTGTCCATTGTAACAAAGCCAGCTGCTGATATTACTTCGTGCTCTGGCCTTTTTCTTTCTGTTATACATAATGCTTGATTTCAGATACAATTTTTTTCCCCGTCTGGATGAGTTATTGCTCCATTGAGCAAAGTCACTCCTATCCATTTTTGTGTTGGTGCTCATCTTATACGTCGTTAGCTTTGCGGGAAAAGAATAGTTTTATCTAAACGTTCAAAAATTTTATGGCCTACTATACCGTTTCTTACAAAGCACCCTGAAATTTACTTTCTAGTCCGTCTCTTTTACAATTTAGAATTTGTTTGTTCATAACTTTTTGGTGAATTGCAGGAAGACTCTCAACTCACCAAGATTACTCGTGATAGTGCAAAAATAACGGTAGAGCAAGTGCATGGCCTAATGTCACAGGTGACCATTCATTCCGACTTTTGGATTGTGCTTAGTATCTGATCATAATAGGTGACTTGAATTTATGCGCTTTGTTATTTTGCAATGCACTGACTGTTTCTTTCTGCTCGTCTAGGTTATCAAGGATATTCTTTTCAATTCTGTCCACCAATCCCAAAAATCCTGCTCAGAGCCATCTGGGCCTGAACCCATGGTTGAGACCTGATGCCGACATCCATGTGTTACCGCAGCCGATGCATACATTTCCTCCGGCCTTCATTTGCGGTAGACTATGATGAGGTTGAATCCAAGGGAATCAACTAGGATGCACATTTTTCATGGATAATGATTTTGTAAATTATCCAGCATCATGTCAAATTGGTTGGATTTTATGGTGGCTGATGAGAGGTGACTGGTGGACAGCGGTGGATCATTAGATACAAACATTTAAGTAGGGGTAGTTGAAATGAGATGTCCTTGGAAGTCCTTGGCAATGCAGGCGTATTTCGGGTCTTCTTGGTTCTTAACCCTTGCAACTTTGGGTTTGTTCTGGAAGAAGTGTACTTTCAACTCTGATCTTCTTTCGAACGGGGGACGAGTATGACATAACTCCTGCCGTGATTCTCAAGTGTTTGACACTGGCATCCGACTTGGTATCATCTCTGCTTCTGAGGCTGGCTACGGCTACCATGTTATGCGTCCGTCTGAATTTTTTTAGCATAGTGTGAGCTATTCCCTTGATCTTTTAACTATGAGAAATAGTCTAATCTTCTGGGCAGACTATGGCCCTGTCTATCTTGGGAGTGTCATGCTTATCTTTCCCTATCGAAGTCCCAAACCTACTAGATCTCCTAATGTTGTTTTAATTGAATTTCTGTTAGTTAGACCCCGAAAACAAGTGGAAAATTTGTGTTGACCATTAACAAAACCATCTACCCCCTGACACTGCACTCCTAACCTCCTTGAGTTTCAAGCTAAACTTTAACAAGACGCGTTCTCGATTTCTTTATCCTTTAAGCTTTCAAAAAGCTCAAACATGGTAGGCTATACATACACTATACAAAACCGTAAGACAGCATCACCGATTTAGAAAATTCTATCAAGATCCAGATGCTGTGAAACAAAATCAAGTAGTCCGTACAACTGGGGGAAATTACAAAAGACGTCCCTATACTACTAATCGAATTCGGTTTTGGTCTCTGTACTATATTTCATTATGATTTAGTCTCCAAACTCATCTTTGATGACTATTTAAGGATATAATTCAATTTTCCGTCTAAATGTGGACGGAATATGCTGAGTCAGCAATGACAAATTGACGACATTTGGCGTCTACATGTACAAGTTTAAAAAAAATCACACTTTTGATCCATGTGCTTTTAGAAATGTTCGATTTTAGTCCTTGTAATTTGTTGTAGTTACAATACTAGTCTTCATATTATTTTTCAATTAAAACTTAGTTTCTTTCGTCACATCTTAATCCAAAATGTTATGAGAATGTCAAACTAAAATCAAGTATTAATTAGTAATTCCTACATTTACAAGTTTGCCCAATCTGATTGAAGTCTTACTAAGATAGATGCTATCGAATGCAAATTTTTACAATCAATATGATGTAGAGTAGTTGATGTAAGAGTCTCAACGGTTCGGTTCGGTTGGGTCGGGTTTCCACGATACACGACCCGAACCGAAACATAAGGAAGGTGTGTTTGATATGACCCGAACTGAGACCTGCTGAAAATAATATACGGTTTGGGTTTTCGGTTAGATCTCTGTTTTTTTTTTTTTTTTCCACACAACTCCAGGACACAATCAGGCAATGCCATCTGAGCATACTTGTGTAGTTATGAAGAGCAAAAATGACTATTCAAGCTCACCATGGTTCTTTCTGTTGCACTCTCTGCGAACAAAAGGCTGAAAGCGGAGAGCAATGTCAAGAACAGAGTCAACAAGGGACCAGACGCCATTATCGTCTCTCAAAGAAGACACCCAGAGAGTGATAACGAGAGAGAGAGAGACTATGTGGACATAGAATGAGCTAAGAAAGCAGAGGAACAATCTTCTCTGTCGGCAAAAGAAACAAGAAAAGGAATTTGTACCATTTCTCACATCTTCTCTTGCATTTACAGATTAAGCTAAGAAAGCAGAGCAACGATTTTGGAGACGATGGATTTAGGAGCGAGATCTTGGAGATGATGGAGTTAGGAGCAAGACTAGAGAGCTTCACTCCATAGGAAAAGTGTAGGGTGAGATTCACCGATACCCGTTTTTGACATGTTAACTGAACCGGAAGGAGACCTGAACCAAACAGACCCGAAATATTCGGTCCGGGTTGGATCAACCTTTTTTGGCACCTCTAGTTAATGATACTAATAGTTTGAAGGTTTCTTATGAACTTCCTAAAATATTGTAAGTACAAAATAGCGAGTTAAAGACGTGGTTAAGTTATTTAAAAACCATCTCATTTTTAAAATAGTCCTAGATACCGTTGTATGGATCTATATTGAAGATGTGCATGTTAAATTATTCGAATGAAGAATTAATCTTGCCGGGATTATCTATTTGATTGTGCTTACCTGTAAACTTAGGAATCACCAACTAATAATTTGCTTCAAATTGACATTTTCATAAAAATCTCTAATAAAGATGTGAAGAAAGAAATTAAGTTTCTATGGAAGAAAAACTTGAGGACTAGTTTTATAACCAAAACAAAGTATAAGGACTAAATTAAAACATTCTATAAAGTAAGAGGACCAAAAGTGTAACATTTTTTAAGAACTTGTACATGCGTATCAATTTGGCGGTGCTGACGCAATATGTTCCCGTCAACATTTAGATGGAAAGTTGAATTGTCACCGGAGACAAGTTAGAGGGGACTTATTAATGTATTATAAATAAAGTATAAGGACCAAAGCTGAACTCGTGTAACGGTACGAGGACAAGTTCTATGATTTCCCCTTATAATTCTTAAGGACCGGACATATAATAACTCAGCTCGCAAAAATTAAAGGAACAGCTTATCCAAGAATTTGAAATTCATAAATTTTCTTTACTTTTTTCAACTCGTTTTACTATGTGTTATTTTCCTTTTATACACAAGTTAATCATAGCAAGTTAGCTACTTTTTCACCATGAAAATTTGAACCCCTCCCCTTGTCGTTTTAGCTCCGTCACTGCCGAGAAGGCAATTTATTCTTGGGGAAGTTACACAAAACTCCTTTGAACTTTGGGGCAGTATACATTTGATTATACTTTCAAGTGTTACACATTATCTCATGAATTTTCATTTTATTACCGCCGTTAACCCTCCATTATATTCTCCGTTAGCATGTACGATGCACATGACTCATTTTTTTTTGATAAAAATTTATCTTTTACCCTTGATTCTGTAAAAAATGAAAAAAAAAAGAAAGAAAAGTAAACTAACTAAAATATTGATATCATAAACATATCAATAATTATATTATAAATAAAAATTTCAAAATTTTGATGAAAAAATTATGTACAACCAATAAGATATCTTAAGAAAAAGCAACGCAATTTGGTGGAAAGGAAAAAACGAAAACGTCAAACGACAAAAATGTTCGATACTCATTTTGTATTCTTAAATGGTTAAATAATGCAAAAAAAAAAAGGATTGATCAATAAAAATATTTTTATAATCACCTTAAATTTCAGTTAACCTTTTATTTTTATGAGTTCAGGAAAACATTTCCTTGTAGAGGGTCGGTTTATTTGATGAAAGGGAAAATGCCACAAAAACTCTCAAATTTTACGTACTGTGATACATTTATCTTGAACTTTTTTATGACAAAAAAAACCTCAAATTATACCCACGCCCATTGTGACATATTTACCGTAAACATTTTCTTGTTATATAAAAAACTCTAAACTTGTCTATGTGTGACACATTTAACCTTTGTTAAGGTTCTGTTGGATGAATTTTCAACTAAAACAATATCGTTTTTATTTCACTTATTTCACAGAATTTTGATGGAGGGTGAATGTATCACACAAGTACAGGTTTGGGATTTTTAGTGTCACAAATAAAAATTTAGGGTAAATGTGTCACATTGAGCATAGTTTAGGGTTTTTGGTGATTTGTAACCTTGATGAAAAACCATTTTCAGGAAATTTTTTTTAGACTTTCCAGTATTTGGATGATGAAAAACTACTCGATCAACAAAAAGCATTTTTCACTTATTGGAAACAAAAAATTTAGATTGTAGAAAACAACTTCCGCTTTTGACAAAAAAAAATCATTTCGTTATTTCCTATCTTCTCAACTCTCTTTCTAATAAAATGATATCCAAATACTAGAAAAAAATTTCAGTCATACTTTGAACATATTACCAAACAAATAAAAATTAATCATTTTCAAAGAAAAATGATTTTCACAAAATATATTTTCCTTTGTCATAAAATTTTCTACGAAACAAATACAGTACTTGAAAATCAGGGTGAACACAAACGTCACGGCCTAGAGGGTATTGATCGTTGCGCCTGATCAAGGGGCTTAAATTGTTCTGGCCCAAAAAATAGAAAACGCGATTCATGAAAGCCCAGCACAATTCGGTCCAACCCACGATTTCATGAAAATCTTTCTTTTTCCCCTTCCAATTCTTTAGGTGCAGAGAATATCATGATTTTCTTATACATTAAAACCTTAATTTTCTGGATTTATGTTTGTGTTTGTATTGTATCATAGGATAATATAAGCATTGACAAATGGGGTTGAGCTAGCAAGTCCTAGCACAAGCATGAGAATAGAATGTCAACAACATAACCAATTCCAAATTAGAGCAAGATTAAGAGATGGAAGCTAATTTCCCTGTGATGGAAAATAGAAAAAAATATGGAATAGGATTGGGGCTATAATCATCGGCCTTGTCTTCTTGCTATGGACAATAATTAGGAATTTTAAATAACCTCGAAGGCTACATTTGTTTCACGAAAATTTGACACTTCGGAATTTTTTTTAAGAAGTAAATGACAATATTATTCTAGTGTTTGGCTGAAATCTAAAAATGAACCGGAAATTATTTTCCGTCGTTCGAAAGGGAAAATTTTATTTTATTTTCCTCAAGAGAAGTGCAATATAAGGGCTAATCTGTTAATTGCCCGTAACTTTTAGGTATTCTCAGAATCTGCAACTGTTGGGAATGATTAATACCCAGCAAAATTGGATTTGCAATTTCCTCGGTTAATTTAAATAATCTTAGAACAGTTTTGGTCTGGGTTTTTTCCTGGCTTATTCACAAATACACCATGTTAATAAGAGTCTATTCTAGCATTTCTAGCATTCTTCAACCTCAATTTAGTTACCAAAAACGGCAAATGCAGGCAACTTTGAGACAAAATATGAGGAATACAATGGTTGGTGAAGATTTTTCCCACGCTATTGCATATGCATTCTAAAAAGATGCCCCCTCAACATGTTTCTTTTTGCACCGTCAGTTTCTTCTTAAGCTTACTAGGGATCTGTCTCTGCATGGGGCCCTTTCTCAAGATTTTAAGATTTGGCTTTTCTGTTACGTCTCCTAGATCAGAAGGATATAAACTTTGCTATTGACGGTTCAAACAATGAGCATCAATTGGTAAATCCACAAGGTGATTTTGCACAAAGGATGCATTGCATTGATGGGTAAATTCGACGAGGTGATTGTTCACAAAAGATGGATTGAATTGCCTGAATATTCTATTAAAGTAAAAATCAACACTAAAGAAGCTCACAGTGATTCCAGCATTGCAACTAATAATCAATCAGATAACAAAGTTCTTGTTTATCTACACAA